CCCCCCTTGCCTCCGTCAGACATTTTGTAGGGAACTTTGGCCCCTGCTTCAAACTTGGGTGTCAGGCCCTTCTCTACCGACTGGCAGAAGAATTTGTTCTTGTTAATTCATGCTCTCTCTGCAGCTTCCCAGGAGCAGCCATCGCCAGCAGCAGCCAGCTATGAGCAGGAGGGCTGGGCAGCCTCTCTCCTGGCTCCCTGGCAGGAGCAGTGGAAGAACCTCTCTGGGTCTGGGAAACCTTACAAGGCAGCTGGGATGAGATTTCTTTACTGAGCTGAGGTCACTCACTGACCATCCACCTGGGAAGGTTATTTACTGAAGTAATGCACGTTGCAGAACTGGGTGTATGGGCAGAGGAAGAAAGAGGAGAAAGGGTAGTTTAAGGAGTTCCCTCAACATTTTTGAGAGCAGTGTAGGCTTGGCTACTCTGTCCCTTTAGGAAGGGCCTCTTAACTTATTACAAGCAGGAATATGTGCAGCAGCTCGAGCTGGTTATCAGTAATCTCCTGCACAGTCAAAGGTGCAGGGGGGGATATTAAATTCCCAAAGCTTTCTGGCAATATCATGATCTGACTTGAAGCTGTAGTGTCTTTAGAAATTAGATTGGGCACAGACTACACTTTCCAGCAGTCTCTGTGCCAGAGGAGGGATCAGGCTACAGGTTTCTGAGGGTATTTCAATATGCTGAAGCATTCCTTTACCCTAGTTCTTCAATGTAGGAGACTTAAGTGAGTGATTTTTCTGTCCTATGCATAACTATACTTGCAGGATAAGCTAACGAGAAAAGTCAGAGGGAACCTAATGAAACTCTGCAGCATGAAGCAACTTAAAATACCAGGATAATGGGCTCAGTGTTGGATCTTTATCCAAAAGCTGAGGATCTTTAGCAGAACAGAAACAACATCCTGAAGCACTGCTGTTAGAGGAGGATGTTTCTGAATCAGCTGTAACATTTCCAGCAGCCTGGGGATTTCTCTTGGGAATTCCCATCCACATACCATTGCCAGCATTGCTCAAAAAGTGTTCAACATGTCCTGGGGTTAATTTATCCTTGGGGCCATCTCCACAGACAGAGCTCTGCTGTGGTGAAGTCACTGTCCTCCTTTTTAGTGATGCATCTGTTTTAACAGCAAAGCCCCCAGCCCCTCAGTGCCTCTTCCCTCGGCTCCACAGGAGCAAGGGCTGTTTGTGGGTATCAAAGTTCAGCTTTCACTGCTCAGCTATCCTGCAGCAGGGTCTAAGCAAGATCATATTTTAAAAAAAAACTAAAACCTTTTGCAGGTAAAAACTCAAGTGATGGAATCAGATCTTTCTTCTGTCTGCCCAAATTATTTTTAATCAGATATTTGGAGTCCTTCTCATAATGTTTAGCTTGTTTTACTCAGGAAGGAAATAAGGCTGTCATTTAAATATTAAGTTGATCTGAGAGATAAAGAGGCATGTGTCCTTTCAGAGAGCTAAGCTAATAGGAAAGCTATTTTAACATTAGCATTTTTAAACTTCCCTGAAGTAAGCCATTTGAAGTTTGGTAGCTGATTATTTGAAATACAGTTTAATAAAGTCTTACTATCCCTTCTCCAAAAGGCAGAGTAAATACATTAAGTGACAAACATTAAGAAAACAAATCTGATTTTTTTTTTCTGCCTGTTAGGTTCACACAGTCTGTGAATGATCTGTTTACAGATGACCAGATGTTAGCAGTGGAACTCAAAAAAAAAAAAAAAAAAAAAAAAGAACAAAAATTTTGGAGGTTGGAGCCCCCTAAGGAATTAGTGACTTAAATCCTATCTGACACCTGATCCAAAACCTACTGAAATCAATAGAGAGGTTCCCATCTGCTTTAGGGAGCTCTGGACTGAGTTCTTGGTTTTGCCACAGAAAGCTGTTCTTCACATGATGCTAAAAAAAAAAGTCTGTCAAATGTAGAGGATCTTAATACAAAGTTGTCCTGGTTTTGGCTGGGATAGAGTTAATTTTCTTCCTAGTAGCTGGTACAGTGCTGTGTTTTGGATTTAGTGTGAGAATAATATTGATAACACACCGATGTTTTAGTTGTTGCTAAGTAGTATTTATCCTAAGTTAAGGATTTTCTAGTTTCCCATGCTCAGCAAGTAAGCAGGTGCACAAGGAGCTGGGAGGGATCCTGGCCAGGAGGGCTGACCCGAACTAGCCAAAGGGATGTTCCATGCCACAGGACAGTGTACAGGCTGGGGGCAGCTGGCTGGGAGGGACAGATCGCTGCTCGGGCTCCCGGCTGCACATGGTGAGCAACCGCCCCGTGCATTACTTGGCTTTTCTCTCTCTCTCCTTGCATATATTCCTTTTCATTACTACTATCATTATCATCATATTTTGTTATTACTATGTTCATTTAGTTATTAACCTGTTCTTACCTCAACCCACACGTTTTACTTCTTTTTCCAATCCTCCTCCCCATCCCACTGGGATCGTGGTGGGGAGTGAACAAGCAGCTACGTGGTGCTTAGTTTTTGGCTGGTGTTAAACCACAACAGAAGTGTTTTCAAGCATTCTGACCTGACTACTTCATGCAATATCAAAGAACTATCTTAGTGTGCGAGGCATTGCAAATTTGTCTCTGAAAATCGTTTGGCTGTTTGCTAAGGATAGTATTGATCGGGAGGGGTGCTCAAGAGAACATGTGGCTAAAAGAGCTGGAGCTGTACCCTGGAAGCCCACAACTGAACTTGCACTTTGTGAACACCAAGGTGAATTTTGCGTAAGGTACCAGTTCAGTGGAGATGCACAGTGGAGGGAAGAAGAGTTTGCAGTATGATTTGTGCTGCTCAAGTGCACATCATCCAGCTTATGAGCAAATGGACAGAGGTATCCACAAGTCAAAACATTGAACAGGGACTTAGGGGCCAGATGATCCAAGAGTCAGGTTTACAAAGCTGTTTATATGAGCAGAAGGCAGATGCCTTGCAGGGAGTTTGATTCCTGACCTGCACAGGCTCTTCTCTAAGTCTGGCAGGCGACCATTTGGCAGTGTTACACCCTGATTCATGTAAATCTGACTTTGAGCTGCACTGTCCCAGTGAGTCACCACCACAAGACAGCCATCATTTAAGCTGTCACCTGACCAAAGGTCCTAGGTAAAAGACGTTTTGCCAAGAGTGAAAAGGACAGCGTGGCGCAAGTCCCTGTCACGGTCCTGTGCTGATGAGGGGAGCTCGAGGTTCTCCTTTTCCCATCACACTGGTTGCGACGGCCAGAGAACCGTGACTCGGTGAGCAGGGCCAGCATCAGTGATATGGCCCAGAGGAGCAGAGGAGGAGGGGTGTGATGGAGGTGAACTGGCCGTCAGGATCTCAAGCCAGGGTGCTTGAGTGGGAAGGAGCCGGCCCGGCCGCCGACGCAGCCCTCTCGCCCAGGGGGCTGGGGCTGCAGGAGCAGCAGCGTGTTCACCCCATCGCTGCCACTGAGAGCTGCTCTGAGGACTTGCCTGCATGGGAAAATTTACCAGAGTAATTATCCCACTGTAATTATCCCAGGATAACTCTCCCTGTGGACATGCTTATTATAACATAGGATACGTATGAATATATAGCAAATCTTTTGCAGAGATGGGTTTCTCAGTAGTGCAGAGGAGTATTTACATTGCAGCCCAGCTGCAAAGCACAGTTTTTATCCTACTTCCCAGCAAATGTTACACCCAGAATTTTCTGTGCCAGAGGTGAAATGTGTGTCATTCGATCCGATCAGCATGAGTGTAAAGCCTCACTCTTGCCCTGTAGCACAGAGCACATCATTTGCTTTTACAGAATCGCTGTGGGAGCCAGGGTAAAGGTTGGGACTCTGCCTTATCCCTCTCTGTGATCTTTTTCAAATGTTTTTAATACTGTGGTGTGGCCATTTAAATACGTTCTTCATTTGACCTTTCTGTTCAAGCTACTGTGACTGAAGTTGGGAGAAATCTTTGGATTGATAAAAGCTGCTCAAACATGTTGTGATTTTGACTTTCTTTAGCAGGCTTTCAAGCCAGATTCTGTTGCCAAACATTGTCATTTCTGTTGTGTGAGTGCTTAGTCCGCTCTCCTCTGACAACTCTCCTATTTGGCATTTTAGCTCCTCCAATGTGATAGAAGGAAAGTTATGACTGGAGAAATTATAAGCCCCAGGCTTGTTTTGCTATATTGCACAGTAACAGATAAAATTTGCTGGGAGCAAGCTAATCTGGACCCCTGTATAAGAGGATGAAGATGGCAGCACTTTCTGAGGCCCACTCAGCCTTCACCCAACACTGCTGCTGTCACTCTGAGTGAAGGTGGAGCAGAGGTGTCCATCATCAGGGATCACTTGGCTGGACCAAATGTACTGACAGCACCTCAGAAAGAAGTGATAATTTTGATGTGTGGGATCCAGCCAATTCTGAAGGAAGGGGGGTAAAAATCCAGACGCTAACTAATGTAGCTAAATTGTCTTTTAATTTTCAGTGATTTGAAATTACAACAGCCATGTGATAATAGGTTGGGTGAAGTGGTTTGATAAAGTAAGCAGCAGCGATTGGAAACAAACTTTGGAGTTGAAATTACTCAGCTAGGTGTGTGGTGAAGTTGAGGTCCAAGGCATCAATATGAAGCTAGCAGTAGAAGGTTCAGAGTAAAATAATTGCAAGTGATTGTATTTCCTGGAATATGCCTGAGCCAAACCTCCAAACCTAAGCAGCCTGCTTTTTTGTCAGGTGCAGAAATTACCTCTGAGAGGCAGTTCCTGGGCTTTTCCCTCCTCCAGTCTCAAAAGGAACAGTAAGTTCCAGGAATCCCATAAAATCATTTTGGTTTGGGCAATGTGATTTCCAGAGCTCTAACCAGTACTTCTTTTCCAGTCTCTGAGATATAGAGTTATTTTAGGTTGTTGCCTGTGTGAAACTGTACCATGTTCACAAGAGCCCTTTCTCTTGTTTTCCAGATAGCTGGAAAATCCTGGCCTTGCAGCAGGGCAGCTGACTCTTGTTTCCGGTGCGACTACGAAACTTGGAAATGGCCTCTGTGTCAGGTTAGTCCAGACTTTAAGTCTATGCTGTAACTCCAGCTAACCCTCTACTTCCTAGCTTCTCCAAAATTCAGCCAGACTTTTCTTGCTGTTTCCTGCTTGTCTTTTTAAAAAAACACAGAAATATAGAGAATATGAAGAATATATACTGCTCTTCAGTTTTCTATCTCACAGTCACTGTAGTGATCACTATCCGTATGTGTGCCTTTGTCTGCATGGCTGTCCATCTACAGTGTTTCTTCTCCTGCTTTTCAGGCACTTCTGTCGGTCGAAGCATACCAGTCGAAGTGGATGAATCCATGCCATGGTCAGCACTTCCTGAACATGTCCTGGAAAAGGCTCTGCAGCCTTCTGGAGAGGATACGGCGGATGAGGAGTCCCAGAGACTGTGTGTCGCTCGCACGCCTCAGCCTGTGGCAGATCCACCATGCCTCTGCAGAGCACCAGCATGTCATCAGTCATCACCATCCGTGGAGCCTGGCAGCAGCTTGTGGTCAAAATACACCGATACTGATGGAAATGGATGCTTTTGTTCCCCCAATGAATTAAGAGCTGGAGTAGTTCCCTCCAAGATGCATCTTGTAGCTATGGACAAACCAGGCATGCAGCCAAGATCACAGCTTTCAGCTGACACCAGGCCCAACTGCAGTAAATCAGAGCAGAGCTTGTCTGATGGTCCCAAAGACTCGCTGGAGGAGAGCAGCCAAGGGAGTTCGTGGTCACAGCAACCCTCGAGAAACAGACCACCAGCAGAGCTGGGGGCTGTGGAGATGGGCTCCAACTCCCAGTCACAAGATGTCATGGGCATCAGGCACCTGGAGCCCCCCTTACCACTGGAATCAGTGCTGAACCCCCAGGACCTCCCAGGACCACTGATCTCCAGGGAGTTTTTTGGACCGGAGCATCAGCAGTGCCCCCTGTGCCAGCACTTGCCCCACCCCAACGCCTCCTCACAAGCTCACGGCTGCTTTGGGCACCGCTGCCTGGCAGAGCAGCACCCCCAGGCTCCGTGTGAGTAGCAGTGCTCACCCCACAGGAGAGTTCCTAGATAGATCTCATTCACCAAGCTAGTGTTTTCCTGCTGTACTTAATGGAAAGGCATGGCATGCGATTATTAACCTTTTAAAACATTTATTTGCCATCCATTTTATATTTCTGTATTTTCAGGTTGTGCAGCTGGACTCTCTAATGCAGAACTGCTGAGCCAGATAGAAAGTTAAAGAGCTCACAGTTACTCATCAAATGAAGCCTAGCCATTTTGTGTAGAAACCAGCCCTTGTCGGTCACGCTGAGCGTACGCAGCCTCCTCCCTGCTCTTTGTTCATATTCTAGTCATTTCCTTCCTCCTTGCTTCAGTCATTCAGCAGCCTTCTATACCGAGATAATTCCTGGTTTTTTCATAGATTTCCTTGCTCCCACTCGCATCCCCAGAGTTGAGAATTTCCTGCTAGAATCAGGACGGGAGGTTATCCTTGGTGTCTGTAAATAGTACCTCCCAGCATTATGACCAAACTGACCCATGTGTTCTGTTTCTATGTGAAAAGAGTATGAAATCCATCATCCTCATTTTTTTTCCGTTGTCAGCTGAAATGAAAGCTCATTATTTAAAATGGAGCCTTCTCAGCTGCTGGTGATTGTATCCCTGAACACTGATGTGACTCTGTCAGTATGGGTGTTTTGGCTCTTGGAGACCACGATTCAGCTTACAGCGTGCTATTAATTAGTATTCCTTTTCAGTCTCTGAGATTTTTATCTGTTATGAAGTGAGCTTTGAACATTCAATAGCAATATCATTGTTTTAATATAATTTATATTACATTAGACTCATGAGACCCCAACCCATTTTGGGCTGGCTTTGTAATAAAAAGCTGTAGGCCTGTTCTGATAAATCTTTTCTTTTTTTTTTTTTTTTTGACCTTCTGTTGACTCCACAGCATTTATATTACATCTGTTTAAGGAGTTTTGTTATTCCAGCAATGTGCTATAATTAGGTACATGAAAGAGAGAGGTTATCAAAGCCTCAGTATTTACCTCTGATCTTGGGACTTTGTGAAGGGGAAGGGGCTACAGATGGACTTTCATCAGTGTCTACTGCTGAACGTTTGCGAAATGTCCTCCGTTTTCCTTTTCATACCTTCTCCTTTCAGTTCAGCCTGGAGCAGACAAAGAGCTGGTTGCACTATTTACCTCCATTTACCTCCTCTGCACGTGGCACCGTGAGAAGTAGGACATTTACTGAATGAGGCCATTTTGTCTTAAAGCAGGAAGGCTGAAAGGCTTTCTTTAGGAAAATCACTACTGTTTCAACCGTATCCAGAGGGCAAAAAGAATCAAATAAACTCAGATGGCTGGAGCAGATTTGGTCAGGACCAAGAAGCTGGCAACTGTACTCCTGTTTCTCACATGCCCTGTACAGCGTAAATCACCTCCTGACAGCTTCTTGCCTTTCAGATAATTGTTGGGCAGTGTCAGTCCACAACAAAGCTCTGCAGTTTGTGTGTCGCAACACGCCTCTCCCAGGGAACAGCAGTTGTGCCCCTAGGCTCTAACCTGGCTCCGGACACCTGCTATTTGAGATACAAGAGCAAAACAGCTTCTGAAGTCAGAAACATCCTCGCAGCGATGCTGTGTGCCCAGGGACCAGTATTTTGGATAGTTATATATGAGAGCTGTTGGTGTGTGCAGGCACGCACGCGCGGCCGTGCTGTGCTTCTGAACAGCAGCAGTTGTACCCTTGAAAATACTGTAGCATCAGACAGAAATATGGGAAAACATTGGCCTAAAAACCTGTAAACTAGACTCAGTCTCCCAGAGCTCTGTCACCTTCCCTAGAGCTGGTCATGAGGGACCCAGGAGACAACCGTATTTACTTTTCATTTTTATTCTCCCAGCCTCTTTCACCCGGTCCTGTTGCAAAAACTAACAGGGGGAACAGGAAAATATCCAAAACCAATTTCAACAAATACAATGTTGCCCACTGAGAATTTCATCAGGAATCTCTTTGCAGTTGTGGGGTTGGTTGTTTGTTTTGTTTTGTTTTTTTTTTTAAGTATTGATTCCTGGAATGGGACTATTTCATCATAGCTTTGTTTTCTTTTTTTTTTTTTTTGTTTTTTTTTTTTTTTTTTTTTTTTTTTTTTTTTTTGTTTTTTTGTTTTTTGTTTTTTGTTTTTTGTTTTTTTTCTCCCCTTAAAAAAAAAAAGTTAGTCCTCACAGCTGCTAGGAAAAGGAAAGCATGACCCCAAAATAGCTAAAAGGATTTAAAAAAAACAGTCTAGGGAGGAAAAAAAAAGAATGTTTGAGTACTGCAGCTTTCAGAGCCAGCTCATAACACCATAATCATGCAGTGCTAATAAGCCCTGCCAGGCTGGACTTTGATCTGCACACAGCAGCTTTAAAGTGCACAGAGCTGCTGCCTAATGAAAACTGCAAGCAGAAAGACTGAAAAAAAGGTAAAAAAAAATAGTTTTCCCCATTTGGGAAACAAACAGCTTACGTTGCTTTTTCTTTCAGTTCATGCCAACAGTTCCACTGTGCATGAGTTATTAAACAGCATTACATGTGCGTGGTCGGCAACAGTAAGGTTTTGCGGCATTACTTGAGCAAAATTGTCACTTTGGGCTTCCCCTGCAGCCTCCTGGATAGCAACAGAAGCAGCAGCAAGCCTTTAGAAGGTCACTTAAGCAGAAAATTCATACAGGGAGAAGTAACAAACCAATAGATTATTTTTTTCTCTTTTCATTTACAATAATCACACTCTGTTTAGCCTTAGTGTTGCAAACTGATTTGTTCCAGGATTTTGCATCTGCTTTCATGAGAATATTCAGATGGTTCATTTTTGCAAGTTATTGCCAAAAAGGAATCAATAATAATAAAAAAACCTAAAACCCCAAAACCACTGAGGCATGGTGAGTGCAGGGACAAAGCAGCTCTGAATGTTTAACTGTCCGTTGTCCCAGCAGCCTAACCCAGGCTGGGGATCTGAACCATGCTATATGTGAATGGGAAACTTCAGGCTGTAAAATGGCCCTTGATCTGGCTTCTTTCAGACCGAGGTACCTGCAAGCACCTCCAAACTGCTGAGTTTCCCAAGACATGAAGGAGGATGTGCCTGGAAAGGAATAAACACAATCTGAGGGAAAAAATGTTTTGACTGAAATGATAGTTGCTGCCTTTATTTTCTCACCCCCCAGATGGCAGAGCTCCTTACCACCATTTTGTACATACATCGCAACAGCTTCCTGCTGTTCCTGGACCTTGCATGAGAGTTATCCGCCCGGCCCAGCAAATCATCCCAAATTACTCAAACCTTCATGCACCCAAGGGCACTGGAGACCGACAACCCCAGAAGACATGCACCTCCCCCTGTCCCCCTGGATTCCCGTAAGTATGCCCCCGGGGGGTTGACTGTGTGCAGTGGAAGCTTCTCTGATCTGATTTTAGGGACTTTCAACCAATAACTCTGAATCCTTGTAACGTTAGCGTGCCCAGCCTGCAGGAGCACATGCAAGAGGCTGGGTAGTTTTCTTTATTTGTCACTTTGCACCCAAAAGGGGACTGTCTTACCCTAGAGAACTTCAAAGCCAGATACCTGATATGTTATTACAGCGCACCCTGAAATGCAGCATTAAGGAAGATAAACACTTGAAGGTTAAAGGGATAAGGGGTTGAAAAATATCTCAGTTGAAACCTTAGAGCTCTCCTCCTCGAGAGCAAAGGTCAATTCGGCAGCTCTCCTCTCTCTTCAGCTGTACGCTGTACCAGCCTGGGACACCTCAGTCACTGGCTTCCAGTGATTTCCTTCTTATCTCTTCTGTAGTGCACAGAAAAAGGGAGGAAATCTCATCTGTTGCTGATATATCTCTACACTGCAGTTTGCATCCTTTTCTGTGGTTTTTCATGTAGTAATAAAACCCCACATGTCTAGCACTTTTCAGCCTGGGCTTTTTGACTGGTTTTCAAATATTCACTAGGCCTTGCATCTCCTTCCTTCCAAGTATGTCTTTAAGAGATGGGAAATACTGTCCATTCAGGGTTTCCTCCAGCCTCAGCTAGCTGAGGACAAGTTGAAGCTTGAGGACATCTGAAATCAGACTATTTTTAAGTGCCACAATACTTTCAGAGGTGCTAAACTTAAAGGCATGTGTGTTTGAAAACGTCCACTAAAATTACATGGTCTCAGCAGAAAGCTGGGAGAATAGACAGGACAAAAGAGGGCAGATGACTGAAATACCACACTGCTCTGGCCTGTGAAAAGTTAGAAGCTGTGACAGGAAAGTGGCAGCAAGATAAGGCACTACCTGCAGCAGAGATAATTGTACTGCAGAGTCTGCATGAAAATGTAAAAATCCTGAGGTATAGTGGGTATCCTTTGCAGGAGTGAAACTTAAAAACAGGCTCTTCATTTTTGTTGTGTTTGTTAAATAAGATGAAGTTTTGGGAAGATCTGCAGGTTAGCCACGGGGTAGTTTTTGTGGCCATTGATGAGATAGGTGTTGATTTTCCTGGTACTGTCTTCTGCTGAGGGATACACAGGGCCTGTCCTGTGGCTGTGTGGCTGGCGTTGGCATCCCAATTGCAGGAACACCAGTTATATGTTGGTAATATTTGCCTATAGAGTATTTTGTAACAGAAAACATCTGTACTGAAATGAATAAACCAAATCTTAATGTGACAACAGAAAACATGCTGTGACCAGCCTGTCATCATTCATTTAAGGAAGGCAAAGGAAAAAAAAAAGAGAGTGGGTTTGATTGACTAAACATCACTGCTCCGTGGGGAAAGGCTTTTACAGAAACCTAACACTCGACCAACAGATTCAACCCAGCAGATTCAAAGCACACCTCACCTAAAAATCCCAGTATACTCCCCTTCCTGTTGACCCAAACTATGAAGCTGAAATGTAGTAGGACAAAAACTGCCAAACTTCTAAAATCATCCTTTTCTCTCTGTTTGTTACAATGGAGAAGACATTAGGTAAGGTTATTGCAGGTGTGGAGATCAGATCCCTGACGTGAGAAACTCTCCTTGGATCTGCTGCTGCTGGTCAAGAAGTGAACTTCGTTCACTTTAGCAAAACTTTTGTCCAAAACCAGAGACTCTCCAATCTATGCCAGAGCTGGAGGTCAGGTGCCCTTGTGCACCCCTTTTTCCCAGTCCACACACTGCACTGTGCCTCCTGTGCTGCACAGGACATCCTGTGAACATCTGAGGTGCCTTGAAGCACCCTTGAGATAATGGGAAGAGGTTACCCAAGTGCCATTCTGCTCCTGTGTGTGCTTAAGAACATCCACAACACAACGTTATTTCTTGCTCAGAAATGGCCTTTCCTTCTCGTAATTGCAAACTGAACAGCTTTCAGCTATGAGGTGCATTTCCTTCCTGTGGCTAATGTTGCTTCTGCAGTAAACTTCTTGTGGTAGATTGTCACCAAGGTCTGTTCAAATGTTGCTGTAGTAACTAAGTAGAAATGCCGAGCCGAGCATTTCTACAATAACTTTTCCTAGCTAATATGCAGATAAAGTTTTTACTGTGCTATTAAAAGAAAAAAAAAAATCTGAATTTTGCCTGAAAATGTTTTTAAATCCTCATTTGCTTTTATTTGTAGAAACCAGCTATACAACCAGCTACCTAATGGTAAGCTGCCCCCCAAGGCGTATGGCCTGGATGAAGCATGCTCTTCTTGTGACAATTTTGCGTCTCCAGCTGCTGTCCCGAGACCTCTCAGCAGCCCTGCAGCCAAGGGGACCCTGAGAACCAGCAATTTGCCAGAGGAGTTGCGTAAGTGGTTAGCAAATTTGTTCTGTGCAAGATCTGCCTGACAGCTTTAGGTGGGAAAATTCAGCCAGGGTGGGGAAGGCAGGGGGAACAACATTAAGACATAAAGACAACAAGAAAAGAAAATACTGAGTGTCATCACATCTGTAGTGTGTGAATGTTTGTATTTGGTGGGACGGAATTATCCCCTTGAATCCTAAAAACATAATTGTCATTAATTGCTTGTTGTTTTGTTTACAAAAAAATAAGTACCGTTTAGATTGGTTTCATGACTTCTTGCTAAACAGGATGTCCCTTTGAGGCAGGAGACACTGAAACTTACAGTAAAAGACTAATAACAAACAAAGCCTTAGGGATAAAATATTTCTGCCTGTCCCAAACCAGACAAATGTGTTGAGTCTTGACCTCAGTTTCTCCCTGAAAAGTTTCTTCATTTTGCACCTCACCTTTCCCATTCAAAGAGTTGCATCTCTCTGGCCTGTAGGAGTGAGTTATGACACTGAATATCATGCTTGGGCAGGCCTTGGATACTTTGTAAGTTAGTGTGTCCTAGATACAGGAATTACTGGATAAAATTGTGTCACTTGTGATAGATGCACAGCTGGATTAGATCAGCCAGATGGTTTAGCCTGATCTGCAAGTCCACAATGCTTTAGTTAGTAAGAAAACTCCTCCCATGATGGCAAGGACAGCTGAAGACGTGGCTGTCATCAGCCATCTGTCCTGCCTGGACAGGGGGTCAGTGCTGCTGTAAGGTGAGGCAGTGCAGCATGCGCAGGGACTCCTCCACTTCTCAGGTCAGTGAGGCCCCGGGGAAAGCTGTGCTGGGTGCCGCCGTGGTGCTGGCTCTGGGTGAGGGCCCAACTTCATCTATGCCAAAGGGCTGGGGAAGAAGCAGCTCTGACAGCAGGGCAGGGAGAGCCCCAACATGACGTTACCCTCTGCAGCTTCCACAGGGGCACTTGCCAGCGGCGAGGCAGTAGGAGCTTAAATCTAGAGCAAGGTTTCTGTGAAGGGGCTTGAGTTCAACACCAAGCTGCTGCGAATAACCCAGTGTGGTGGGTAACCACCAAGTAACCCAAGATGTAGGTGGGCAGAACCCTCAGTGCGGTGGAAAAGGGGGGCTGTGGAAGTCTTACCCTCCAAATGGTGTATCTTAGTGCATCACATATTCATATGGACTCTCTCTCCCAGGCAAGGTCTTTATAACCTACTCGGTGGACACGGCAGTGGAGGTTATGAAATTTGTGAACTTCCTGCTTGTAAATGGATTTCAAACTGCTGTAAGTATTCCTTCTGGAGAAAATTACTTCCAACCAAGGCAGAAAAGAGACTTTTTTTTAAAGCAGAGGCAATACACTGTCCATTTAAATGTTTTTATCATCACATTTTATACGTTAAAGAAGATATGAATAGAATGAACTAGCCATGGCTTTAAAAGTTGTAATTTAAACGATTTGCCGTTTCATTTGCTCATATTTTAACTGAATTTTATGCTTTGAAATGTGTTTTAATAATGACCCTGGAAATTTTCATTTCATGACACCAGATACCAGATGGGCAATAGTACGAGGTTTTGTGAGCTATTCCATTAACATGGTCTCATGTTTGATCTGTAATATCAATATTAAAAAAGGTCAATTTTTATGTTCATCCCATCCCAGCTTTTTTTTCTGCAATGCTATTACATCGTTGGTTCTTCAGATGTGAATACCTTTCTGCTAAAAAATGATCTAAAATCAGCGTATTTCACACAGCTTAATGAAACACCCATCTCATGGTTTCATTTGCTTTGTTATACTTTTAACAGGGATTCTAAAATGGCTGGCCTTCAAAGGTCTGTGTCCTATTGTCTAATCTCTGAAGTAATCCAGATTGTCATTTAACTTCTCAGGAGTTTGCTTCATCGTAACCTCCCTCTCTAAGGGAACCATCCACAGAGGCCCTAGGATTTGGTGTTCATCAAAATCTTGATTCATATTTTCTTATTTCAAGTACATATGCTGTCTGACCCCTCAACCTTCACTCTTTGGCTTCAGTTCAGGAAAGCATTTAAGCAAGTGGCTATCATTAAACTGAATAAGGCTCAGTGGGGGGCTTTGCACAAGCTTATTTATTTTTGTGAATCAAAGATTTTTTTTCCAGAGACTGCAATGATACTTCTCTCCAGCAGTTCTGTGCTATGACAAATTCATAAGAAAGCTTTGGGCACCATAGAGATACGGAATGGAAGATTCAGTAATAGCACCTTTGCTAGACAGGCAATTCTTGGAGCTTTCTGCTGAATAATAAATACAGCAAAATGCCCCCAAAGCAGGGAAACAAATAGGCTCTCTACTTTCAAAAAGGGAGAAAGAAAGGCTTGAGAGCAGAGCATGACTCCTCTATTCAAAAGTTTGGAGAAGTTAATACTTACTCAGTTGGTCACAGTTATTGATTGCCAGTTTCTGGGCTTACTGGGCATCCAGGGAAGTGAGTGGTCTTGGTCGTGTTGAGTGCGGTGAAGTCCTCCACCTCTCTGCTGTCGCTGAAGTTTAGGTTACTGCATCCAGTGTCAGTGACCGGGCTGACTTCCCACCACACAACCTGAAAATTTGGTTCAGTATGAACCTAAAACTTGGCACTGCATATATACCCTTGGAGCCAGAAAATAGTGGACATTTGCAGCCACTCAGATAGAGAAGGTGGGCAGCCATCCACATTCACGAGGTGTTGAGAGAGGCAAAAAAGCCTTTTTGCAGACATCGCATATCTGACGTTCACTGGCGTCATTGCTTCTTGTTCAGCTCAAAAAAAAAAATGCCTGGGAGTTGGGAGCTGTCAGGGCAGGACATCTGGTCAAGTGGCCAGCTGAGCAGGAGACCAGTGATGTTCCTGCAGCAGCCCCACCTCTGCCTGCCTGGGGTGCCTGTCCAGCTCGACTCTGGGCTGCAGGGAAAGGGAAGAGGTCTTGCAAGCACACGTTTCTTTCCTGAGGGAATTAGACACACACATTAGCAACCAGGGGAAAGAGCAGGTGCCTTCTCAGGGCCACCAAACGGGGAGGAAAGGATGCTCACCACAGACTTTCATTCTCTTGCAGATTGATATATTTGAGGACACGGTACGAGGTATTGACATCATTAAGTGGATGGAGCGCTACCTAGGTGATGTATGTAAAGGCAATTTAACCTTGTTTGTGGCAGAGGTGACCTGCAGAAAATGGTTGAATTATTCTAATAGCAACAGGAGCAGAATCAAAATGCAAGGCCCTGATGTCATCTTCCTTGTCCCTACAGAAAAGGCAGAGGCCTTGCAGAGGGAGCATCGGCCCATCTTGCACATTCTGTACCTTGCAGTCCCAAAGGTTATTCTTTAAGAAAGGAAGTGCTAATCTTGGCATCCCTGCCAAATTCCAATGCTGGCTGTTACAATCAGCCTGAAGCTGCCAGTGGAAAGTTGTTCCTCCATCTCATTTTTAAATTGCAGTTTTTAGCTATGCGCAGTTAAAATGGCTTCTGTGTTTCATCCCAGGCTGCATAGTAGCGGCTAACATTCATCCTGCTTCTCACCTGTAGCTTTTAGATTGCTATCTAAAACACGGAAAGATTTTTCTGGATAAACCATCCTATATGTAAACTCAAAGCTGGTATTCTGTTAGTCAAATTATGGATTTGCTGTTATCACTTTGTATCTATCTGTTTATCAACGCATGTCATCGTGGGGTGGATTCCTTTGATTCATGCCTTGCTGAGTAGCCACCAGGCCTCTGACTCACTCTGGGCAGATCTCCAGGGTTCAGGAACAGGATGACAAAGTGGTGGGCTCTCCCTGACCTGAACAAGGAAGCCCAACCCTCTGAGACAGCATTAAGCAGGTTTCCTAGAGGTGTCCAGGAAGACAACTTAGCTCAAGTGCACTACCACACAGGCATGGTACTACTGCATGCAGAGCCAGCCTGGGGCTCCTGCCGTGGCAATGCTGTCATGCCTTTCGGGGACTTCATCAGGACACAAGAGGCATGGGCTCACCCTGTATAACTGAGCTACTGACAGTAGAAACCAGGCTGAATTTGTTTTTGTCAAGAACGTTGTTATCACTTAAAATACAAACTGGCAGATCTCCTCTGGGACTTCTGCACAGTCAGTAGGAGAGACGAATATGTGCAGAGAGCAATTCCCTGCCTTCACACAAAGATCTTTCTCTGACTGCCTGTCCCAGATATGTTTATTTTCCTCCATTGACTGCAGGGGCGGTTTCTGAGTTCAAAACCCTTACCCATGTGAGGGAGAAGGGACTGCTTGGACACAAGCAGGGCGATGTGTGCAACCGGCCATGTCTCTGCATGCCCTTAACATCTGTAAATGCTTACATGCATGTCAGGCACAAGCAAAAGTAATTCTGGAGTATGTTAAGTTAGTGTAAGGGATAATGGCTCCTTACCGTATTTGACCCTGTGGTGGGGCAAATTTCCTTGATATTGCACAGAAGGAAAGAGTTAATTAGGTGCCAGACTGACTATGAGCTGCAGACTTGGAAGCCTTACGCAGCCTGATGTGGCAGGGATAAAAGACAGGCCCTAGGTAAACACAAGTAGGAGGCTTTCATCTGCTGAGCCTCTTCACCAGCCCACCACTAAGGACGAGAGATGTTTCCCAGCAATGAAGGATGGCTCCTCTGTGGAAACCTGAGCTCAGTGGGGGCTTGGGATTAAGCAGGTCACAGGCAGGGCCTGGGCTGTCCCAGGCAGCAAAGTGGTACAGAGCTGCTAGATACCCCGAAACCTGCCCATGCCAGACACAACAGCCCACTTCTCTGCACAGCCACCTCTCTGCACGCTTTGCTGCTAAGACCAGCAAGAAAAGTTGATGTTTCTGTTGCCAGGAGCCCTAGAAGTAGCTTCCATAGGCCACTGCCTTTGGTGGCTTTATGTATAAAAAAAGCATAGACACAGGCACACTTTTAAATAAGCTGTTGGAAAACATTTAGGTTTGAATTTGAGGATAAAACTTTTCTGTGTATGTACATAGACACTCTACACTGATAAAAACTAGCTTTTTATTACAGGGATTCCAACTGTAAACTGGTAACTGCTAATACATCTCTTGACATTTAGATTTTCTATATTATGAGATCTCAAGAAATAATGAGGGGAATGAGTGTATGAATTCTCCCGTATTTCCTGCCAGAGTGAATGAGATCCTCTCGTGTTTGCCAAGAACATAAAGATCACTTAAAACACAAACTGGCAGATTTCCGATCTGCCTCTACCAAACATGCTGCCTTTTCCAATTTCATAAAAGTGCTTTTCTCCCTAACAGAAGACGGTGATGATAATCATAGCAATCAGTCCAAAATACAAACAGGATGTGGAAGGGGCTGAGTCCCAGCTGGACAGAGATGAACACGGCTTACATACTAAATACATCCACAGGATGGTAAGCAAGGACATGCATTTGCTGTTCTACAAAGACTCCGTCTCTTCTTCTCAAAAGACAAATCAGTCTCCAAATGGCAGGTTCTTTGCTTTGTTTTCCCTAATCCCCATAGTTAAACACCCCCCTTTGGAATTCATTAATCCTCCCTCTCATCAGTTCCGTATGCTCATTAACATCTGCTAAGAGGTTCAAGGAAGAAAAATCCTGTTAAACACGCTCATCTTATTTCACAGTATTCTTTATTGTTCATTTTTGCCCCCTCCTTCACCTTCTTGAGCCCTTGTTTCCCTATCTTGTAACCCTGAGCACAATCTTATCTAGGAGTGCCTGACCTTCCTCCCCATAAACCAGCCCCTGTCACTTCGGCCATCCTGTAACCAAGGTTTTTTTTTCAGGCAGCAGTAAAGCTGACTGAAAGATGGACTTGCAAAGCAAAGGCCAGAGCTGCAAAGGGGGGCTCCTACGGGGTTCAGGGTGGCAGGGGACCAGTGGGGGTCACAGATACCCATCTCCACAGTCTGTCACAATGTGGACATTTAGCCCAGAAGAGCCCATATGAGCTCTCTGAGCTCATCCTTTCTCCTTCTCCCTTAGTTCCCAGTTTGCTGCCTTTCTTAGCCCATAAACCATCTGATTCCCCAGTTTGATCCAGCAGTCAAACTTGTCAGAAGCTGTCACCAACAGATAAGCTCTCAGCAGTACTTTACTGTCCTTAGCGCCCCCAGGATGCCTGCCTGTGTCCAGGAACATGGGAGGCAGGCTGAGCCCCAGCTCAGGCATAGAGCTGGGACATGGGGAACAGGCTGGGTCCTAGCTTGGACCCAGAGCTGGCCTCTGGCTGAAGTCTTTCATCCTGTTGGAGAAAGAAAAGGGGCCTTAGTCAAGTCAAGCTTCATTGGTTCTAGATGGATTTCATGGGACTGCAACTGCAGCTAAACCCACAATTATTTCACACTACAGAACTAAATGCTTAAGAAACATTGACAAATCTTTCCTGGATCCTTTCTGTAGTAATGATTCAGATTAAGTAATGAATCAGATTAAGCGGCCAAATGAAACATTACGGAGTCCACCAGCAATAGATCAGATCACTTAACAGAAGAGCAGCCTTAAGTAAGCAACAAATGTTTTTATGCATAGGCTTCAGATGCATGCAAAGACCAATTAACGTGTCGCTACAATAAATCTGGCAATTTGTTCTATTCTAGATGCAGATTGAGTTTATACAACAAGGAAGTATGAACTTCAGATTCATCCCTGTGCTTTTTCCAAACGCCAGAAAGGTAACGTGCATACCTACACACTTGTCACGTGATTAAGCACATATTATTTTGATCACAGTGCACCAGATGAAATCTTAAAATCCAAACTCTCAATTTCTTGTTTCTTAATATCCCACTAGTAATATTCCAAAGCTACGCTTTACATTAAAATTTATAGGTTTATGTACATGCAAATAAAAAAACATTTCATCCGCAATATAAATCAGAGCTTAAACGTGTTTCTGATGACGAATGTACAACTGAAACTCAAATTGTCTTGAGCACTGGAAGAATTTAAATAGAGACTTATCTACCCAGCAAGCATGCTTTTTATATTAACCCTTTTATAATTTAGTCCAGATGCAATGCTGATGAGTGAGATGGGAGAGATTTATGAGTGATGTGAAGTGAGGATCTGGAAGAGAGTGGGTTGAGAGTATAAAAATAAAGGGGATAATAAATATTAAAGTACTAGGCTGTTGCTTGAACTTTGATGGGTCCATCAAAGGCAAACTATAAGGTTTTTTTAGGACTTGCAATTTCATCTGCCCTCCTTATTGGTTTTGAAGGTTCTTTAGTGAATAAGTAATACAACAGATTCCCAATTCTTCTTCCTCACTCTGAGAGAACATCTTGGATTTCTAGAAGGGTGGAAAAGCTAATCAGCTTCACTTCTAGTTGAAAAATTGCATTCTTCCTAAATGCAGAATAGATGTATTGTGTTCATCTTCACTTTTTGTTGCTATATGCTGTGTGCGGTGTTGGGTAGCTGTCACGTTACCCCTAGGTACAGCTGCATGTTGGACAAGTATGGAGAGATTCTTTGTATTTCTTTGGGTGCCCAGATTTTGGAACATGAGTAAAAATTTAAACAATGTTATCATATGTGGTAACATGTGTGTGCTATAATATGTGATTGTAGGGCTGTGAAGTCCCACTGCACTTGTGGATTCTAGTGTAACAAAGCTCTTTATTTAGGCACTGATTTAATATAAGCTTAGATATTTGAAAATATGTCCCTGAGTTTGTAAAATACGTGAGGTCCTTTGGAATGAATGGTACTTCTGGTATTTCATGTCATTCAGCTCCCTTCCTAAATGATCTCAGTCTGGTACTTGCTTTAAGTGTGGAAAGCTGGTAGACGGCATCTGGGAGATGGCAGCAGAAAAGGCTGATCTGCATAATTTAGATGAGAGTGGTGGGAATTGGGCAGACCAGAACCAGGGAAGTGGTTAGATTTTTCAGTCAGTCTTTGCAGCTTGATCTGGGGGGAGAGGGCAGGACTGCTCCTGACCTTGAGGGCTCCCCGAGTGGCTGGCACACGAGTGGCTGCCACACGAACAGATCATACAGCCGGCAGCCACTGGGCACCTTAAGGGCTGCAGAGAGAAGCAGCCCAGCAGGAGCTATAGCTGCCCTTGGGCTTTGAGGCAGAACAATACACTTCTGTTAATTTGGGCTGAATTTTATCTATCAGAAGACTATTTAGCATATAGCAGTGGTTCTCTCAGACAGTGATCTATAACTAGTGCCAGGGATGGTTTACTCAGCTGCTCATATCAAAGCATCAGGCTCCAGAGAGCCTTCCTGCCCATCCTCTGTAGTCCACATCACCCTTCAGTATTTTGAGGGATGCCTTTCTCATCTAGATTATGTAGATCAGCATTTTCTGTTGCTGTTAAGCTTTGCTCTCTTTCTCCACACATTTCTTTGTCACATCATCTACCTTCATCTAACTAGTTAATGATAATATAACTGAGGACATCATGGGTGGAGAGAGAGCACCAGAGCCTGAACAAGTTGCAGTAATGAAGTCTGTGGGCAGTCAGAGGAAGTAGGGTACCTGAAAAATGCCATGTGTATGTACAATTGGATGATGCTGATGGGCAAATTACTTTCATTTTATCTTTTTTATACTGTCCTTTACATGTTCAAGTACTACTGTAGCTGGCAGTGGAAAAGAGCAGGAAAGCAAGGTTTGGAAGGTTGCATCTGGGGACATGGCTATTAGATGAGTTAATCTTATACAGAGCCCATCATAAAGCACGGCTGGTATGTGAAAGTTAGTGACCTCCAACAGGAAGGGATCTGCACGAAACAAAGAATGTTCATTAGGAAATTGAATAATGAGGGGAAAAAGCACAGCACACAGTTAAGGTGGAACTGGCATTTCCAGCTTCCCGTTGTCTACTGCTAAAGGGAGCCTGTGTCTTGCTGGTTCAAGGCTTCCACAGAGATGTGTCCTCCTGACCTGGTCACCTGGTGACCAAAGCATTGTGCTGTGATTGCCCCATGCTGGAGGCTCCCTCTGGGGGGGTGGGCTGAGCAGAGGTGGTGCCAGGGAAGGCAAGAGGGCTCTCCTTCTGGATCAAAATAGCAGCTAGAGTTACCCCTGTACCCCTGCACACCTCCCTCAAGTTAGATGTGTTGCCAGAGTCATCAGCCTGCAGATGCTTTTTGCATGGAGCTTTTAAGAAGGACATTAAATGAACTTGGCCACAGGAGCAGCTCTGGAGGAAGGGCGCGGATCCTGTCTCTGGGTGTGTGCTGCCTGTCTCAGTACACCCCTGCTTGCTGGTTTCTTACCCACTGTACATTTCTCACACTAATTTCCATCTTTTCAAGCTTAACTAATGATTTCCCATGTGGGCCTGTATCGAATGCTTTACTGAAGTCGAGTGACTACATCTGCTGCATTTCCTTTCTCCAAAATATATCGTTTCTTATCAAAGACAGAGAGAGGGCTCATTTTGTAAACCTTTGCTGTATTTCATTGCATTTTCTTCTATAGCCCTTAAGATTTAGTAGAGAAACAAATTCTACGTAATAAGAGTCTGTATGTCCATGGAAACATAGGTGTCTTTCTGTCTCCCAGTATCACTTGAATTTCTTGGCCAATTTCGAACAGCTTTGTCATAAGTGTAGAGTTTGCAAAGATTAAGATCCATTCCTATGCAAAAACAGACGTGCAGATGGAGGCAAGAAACCTTATTTGCGCTCCTACCGAAGGGAACGCTGTGGGATCCTACCCTTGTTGGGCAGTGAGGTGTCCACCTGGAAGAGCAACATTTTAAAGCCTCCACTTTGGCAAGACCATTGACCCAAGCCTACACTTTCTCACCCACTGGAGAAAGAGGAAGACCAGGCTTGATAGACACCTGTACCACTCACCAAGCTCCTTGTTCAGAAGCCCAGGTGAGGTCAGATCAATGGGTCTGTAGGTGCCTGTGTGACTCACCTCCTTCTTCGGACACATAAATTTTATAGATATAACAAAGTGGTTGCATCAATTAACACCAACCACTGCCTGAGCAGTGGAAATGGTGCAGCCTTGTTCCTACAGCTGTACAGGCCAAGGAAAAGGCAGCAAATCTGAGAAGCGTGAGGCTTGGGAATGAAAGATTTGGACTGCAGCTAGGTTGTTTGCTGGCAGGCAGGCCACACGCTGCCCATGCCAGGGCATCCCCTGGTGAAGTGCCAGACATGCATGCCAACAGCTTCTTCCTCTGTCCTCTTGGAGCTAGCTCCACTGGCTTGACAGGGATTGTGCTGCTCCTAACAGGCCACCTTGGGAGAATACTGCCCAGCTGAATAAGAGATCTGGGGAGCAACTGCTGGATATCTTCACTGCTCATGTTTCTTACCTGCTGTCTCACTTTGGCTGTGTTCTGGCACCTCCAACAACAGCTCTCCAAAAAGAAATCTCCATCTCCACCATGGACATGAGCTGGTTTTGGTCAAGGATCAGTCTTTGACCCTTTTTTAATTAGTGTTATGATAACAGCCCTTCACACACACACACCCCCACACACATATCCAGGCTGCCCATATGGAAACCTTCCAAGGCTGCAGAGACATGGGAACATGAGGTCTGAGCAGGCTCCTCTCCATCAGCCTGCTGTCACTGTCCAGGACCGTGGTGGTCCCAGCTTCACTAAGTTAATGGGCATTAGCCAACCCCTCTGAAAGGCTGCACCTTTCCCAGGATGCAGTGAGTGGTGGAGGTTTGACCCTGCTAATCTGGAGGTGCATTAGCTTCTCCTCAAGCTCAGCATCGGCCTCAGCCTCCTGCTCAGGAGGTGACCAGAGGACACCGTGCTCGATGAAGAAGCGGGAGGAGGGGGAGGAGGATACTGGGACGAGAAATGCTCCTCTGGGGTCCTGTTCTTCCCCTGTTGATTCTCATCTCAAGGTTGAACATGCTGTGTGGATCCTTCAGCAGCTACTAAGGTGGCAGCCTCTCTCTGGTAGGGGCACTGAAATGCCTCCCTTCTCTTCTCAGTGTTTATTTTCACAAGCCCTTAGATGCCTGTCATAGAGATCAGACTCCTTTTGAAATGTGGTGAAATTACCCAACGTGATGGCAGCAAAGAAAGAGAGACAGGCAAGCTGTGAGATCACACAAAGTTCATTTATTTAGGAACCCAAATACAGTTTTGAAGCCAAATTAAAATTTCTTGTTGTTACAGGAAGTGCCTAGAACAGACAAAGTGAAATCTTGCTTGGCAGGGTCTGACGGAATCTGCAAGGTTCTGGTACAGAGTCAGCAGGATTTCTGGGATTTTACTGGTTTTTTTCTTGTTTTTCAGGAACACGTGCCTACCTGGCTGCAGAACACTCACATTTATAACTGGCCAAAGAATAAGAAGAACATCCTTCTGCGGTTACTGAGGGAGGAGGAATACGTTGCTCCTCCAGTAGGACCTTTACCAACCCTCCAGGTTGTGCCATTATGAAGACTGTTACTTAAAGTGCACGCCAAGCAGTTGTTAAAAGGTTGTTCTTGGCAGGGAGACAGTGCTCTTCCAGATGGCTCTTTCTGATGACAGAAGACACTCTGTCTGCTAAAGGAATTGGTTGTCTTGGGGAGCTCGGGCTTGGTTTGTAATCTCTACCACGTTAAACAGCTGTTTCTGAAGCTGATGGGGCAGAACTCATTTTTAAATAAGCTGCAAATGGAAAAAATGCCGAGTTTTATTTTAACATCCGTTTTCAACATATTGCTTTATCAGTCAATATAGCAAACAAACATCAGCAATAATGTTGCAATAAGTGTAAAATAAAAATGACATCCTCCTTTTTGATCAGGGGTTCTTTAAAGATATTCCTGTCTTGTATAGCATTATCGAGCCGTTAATTTGTATATACACTATTAAATATAATTGCCTTTTGTAAGGCGACCTTATTTATTGCATCAGCTTTTGTTATTGCTGGGAACAACAGAGGAATGGTAACTGTTGAGTAACACAAGTTTTCCTTAGCCTGTCGTGCACAAAAGCCACTGTCTTCAATTAGAGGGCTCTGACATCTCTGGAGGTCCATCTCCTTGCACCTCGGCCCCCGACACCTTAATTAAAACAGAGCATGTTGAAGGACAGTTGGCATTTGGAAAGCCAGCAACTGTTAAGAGAAATAACATTGACTCCTACAAGTTGTATGCAATATGGAACAATAAAATCATCAAAGATGTTGGACAGCCACAGGGTGTTGGCAACCAGGAAGGCTCTACAACATCACATCTGCTAAAATTGGAACTTTCTTTTTTACAGAGCGTGCAAGTAAAACTTTGGCAAAGGTTCTTTTTTTAAAAACTGCCTTAACTTTACTGAGGTAACAGTGGACCCTGTTGGCTTAAAATTCTGCAGCCCTTATTCTTTAGAACATTCATACCAGAATGATCTGCTCTCACAAATGGCACTTCACACCTCCTCAAATGCAGGCTCTTTCTAAGATCCTCCTCAGCTTTGTTATTTGTTATAGAATGACCCAAACACAGCTTTTTTAAAAGTATGTGTGTTCAGTAGTCCAAAAAGTAAATTAGCCCAGGAGCTGATACTCCCATTACGCTACCCAGATTATTTAATTAGCTTTCCATGGAGGTGTTGCCAGTGTGGTGTGCTGATACAGAACATGCTTTGTGGCCCTCAGGAGAAACAACTGAAGAACCACGTTGCAGACGTACTCACATTTTCCTCTAGCAGGCTTTGGCATAAAGAGTTGCAGACATTTAAGAGCGCTGGGAGATGGGTGTATCCCACATCTCCAACTCTTAGAATTTTGGTTGTGGTATTTGATGTGCTTCCTACAGCTCCAGCTTCTAAAGGGAAGCTCAACAACTGAAATGGGCTAGTATCTGCCATGCCAGCAGCTTCCTGAAAAGGCACAATGAAACTGTGTTAGGTGGTGGCACTTCTTGTTACCTACTTGCATGTGGGGAGGGGAGGTCCATTTTCCATGTGACAAAGTGAAAAACTACGCTTCCAATTAAGAAAATAACTTTCTAGTACATGGTGAGAAGCCTAAAATCATGACAGAAATCCTTCTTAAAAGGTCAACAAAGTGAAGACAAAAAGAGTGGGATGTGAACAGCTCAAGACCAACATTTAGGGTCACTCAGAGTGCCCTACAGTATTGAGCTCAGCCTCCAGGTTGAGCAAGTCTCCTGAAGTGCTGTGGCTTATCTGCCAACTCAGTAGGGTTGTCTCTGGCATTTTGAGATATCACAAGTGTTTTAACATGGCAAACTAGTCTTTCTCAAATGGCTTCTGAGCCCCTCAACCAACTTCTACCACATTCAATAGGGGGAAGCTCAAGGATAGCAAGTGCCTACAAGCTTCATGGAAATAACTACCCGAGCAAAGAGCTACCCCCAAACCTGCACGCTGTGGAGGGAGAGGTAGCGGGGTCTTAGGCCTGGGGAGCTCTCTTCCCAGAGGAGAGCAGCTAGCCAGCCAGCACTCACAGGAGTCACCACTGGCCACCCTGCTCCCAGACAGGGCTGGCAGGGGGGCACTCAGATGACTTTCTGGGTGGGCAGCCTCAGTAAGGATGCAGGAGAGAAATGCATAGGGAATGAGGCTACAGTGTCAGTTCTGCTGCTTTGCAAAGCAGCATATTAAGGAGAGCAGTTAAGCATTCAGAATGATTAGCGAGGCTGGGTAGTAAATTCCTTTCATCATTTTGGCCGTCATCCTAAAATATGTGCTCTAGATTTACCACAGATTTGCTTGGTTTGGGCCAGGGAATTTCATTAAGTAACTCCTGCATCATGTGATACACAAGGTTGCATTAAATGGTCCAGTGATCATTTCTATTCTTCTGTTTCAATGATCCTTTTCTGAAAAACAGTGCTAGCAGAGTAAGGAAGAAAAACTAAGCACTGGTGTCTAAGATGTACAAAGAGCCCAATCTATTTAACTACTGGGGCACTATTTTTTTTTTAATTGAATAACAATTCCCAGGATTCATTGATCTTTACATTAGTCAGAGCATCCTACAAGGACAGAAACCATGATGGGGAGAGTGTGAGTAATGAGCTAGCAGCCTAGTGAATCATTTCCCCTAAAGCTTTGTATTTGTAGAGAGACAGATGGTGGGAGCTGTGAAGAGGGAGAGGGAGGAGAAAAGCCGTTTTTGCAAGCAACAAAAGTGGAGATAGAGGACAGTGAAAAAAAAAAAAAAAAGAAATAGTCAGCAGGTAAGGGAGAAGAAGAGGCTGGGAATATACCAGCTGTGTCAAGAGCTAACATGTTAATGCTAAAACGGATGAGGGCTAAGGGAAAATATGGGAAGGAAATTATAGAAAACAAGAGCTTTGTAGCCAGGAGGGGAAAACTTTACTAGGAGCAGCCCTAAAAATACATTTGTAGATGAACTCTTGAGTCAGTTATTAACTTCATGTGTAAATAATGAGGAAGTAGCTGACATTCAAACAAAAGGCACTGCTTGAATGGTGACAGTGGCACCGGGGGTTTCTCTCACGGTGCCTGTACGTTTGCAGGGGGTGTGTGGGAGGGGAAATACACTGTCCCTGACGTGGAAAAGAAGCAGCAAAACGAGAGATCCATATTGGTGCTGGGATAAGGGCAGCATTAAGATAAAGACAGAGATCATTGAGAAAGCGTCTGCTTTGCAGGCTTGCCAAAGCTCAGGCAACATTAATATATGTAAAGATTTTTTTATGCAGGCCACCTGTGTGACAAAAATATGGTTGTAAGGTTTTTATCCCACAGTTAAGCTCGGCTGGCAAGGGAAGTGTATGGCAGCTCTAGTACAAAGTTAATCCAATAAAGCCTTGCACACGAGACATGAAACGCTGCCCTAAGAGCTCATTTTCTCCTGGTAGGCTTTTAAGTGCCATCGTTTGGTGCCATTTAAGAAAATAAAGCAGCAGACGTCTCTGCAGCCTCTCTGGGACCAGCAGCAAGGCAGATAACGAAAAGGGGCTCATTACAGCAGGCCCATCGAAGGGCACCTTCCTATGAGTGTGCCCCTTCCTCATCCCCAGCAAGTGACTGGGCTGCAGGTCCTGGAGACCTGCACTTCTTCATAACAGCACCAGTTCAAGCAGCAAACTTTGGTGCTGTGGCCAGGGGAGCTCCACAAGATGTACTGATGGAGGAAAAGGAGCAATTGCCACCAGTTATCATGCTTCTGCATCGTTGGATTTGAGGTACTGGTAAAGCTGGGGGAGATACCTGGTCTTTAAAGGTAATGGAGGGGGAGAAAGGGGAGCTACGTGGCCTCACATTGCAAAAAGCATACTGTGATAACGAGGAAAACACATCTCAGAGTTTCCTCACGCTCTCTGCAGAACAGGTGCACGTTATCTCCCAAAGCAAACAACTCTCTTGTTACGCTTTGGCTTTAATTTAACAGGTTCCCCCATGGCCACACCTGTGGGCGTCTGCTGCTGGTGTGTTTGGGAAACAGAGCCTGCCTGGAAGGTCATGGCTTTCGGCAGGCTCCCCCTCCACCACCCTGTATCAGTGCAGGAAAGCACTCCCTTAATACTCCAGTCTTGATGGGCTGGTGCTCCTGCTTCTCCCCGGTGCCTGGCACAGGTCTTCTGAAGTTCAAGGCTGGCACGCAGCACATCAGTTTTGTTAGAAATCTCCACTGTGTCATTTCTGTTTGAGCTGTGCCAGGAGCTGCTCACACGGGTCCCCGCAGCCAGCGCAAACCCCACCGGCACACGGACTCCTCAGAGGAGCTGCTTGCAAAGCACTCTCTGGGGTGCTAGGCCTTCAGCCACGCGCCCCTCCGCCCTGCCGGCTGCTGCTGGGATCAGAGGAGGAGGAACCGTGCCGATACTTGTGTGATACTCGTGCTAGAACAGTTCCTGCTGCCAGCGAGAGGTGCTCTCGGGGCTGCAGGAGACCTCCAGCGCCGGCTCCGAATTACACCAGGATAAGCCGGGGGAGCTCAGCTCGGCCTTCGCAGGCTCAGAGCACGGCCTCGGCCTGCTCACGGAGCTGTGCACAGACCTCCAGCTGTGTGTCCCCATCTGCAGCCAACATCACTTCTAAACACACAAACAAAACATCTAAAACAAAGTTTCCCAGCCTGACCAGAACGGGGAACTAGGCTACATTTCAAGAGCTTGCTGGAGTAGATGGGACCAGACAAATATAAATGCACGTGTCCTCCATCGTGGCTCTGAACCTTGCACGACATTGTCCAGATCCATGCAAATGGGGAAAAAATGCCACCAAAAGCACAGGCAGGGTTTTTTTTTGTTTTTTTTTCAATGGAAAAACATTTGTTTTTCACTGAAAGAGATCACAGACTTCTCCAGTTTCCAGAAGGGGAGAGGGCAAGCACCTGCTTGCCCACCTAACCCTTGAGTTAGGGGAACTTTGCAGCAACTTCTGCAGCCACCAAGCCCATGGGGTAATGAATGGATCTGGGGAATCTCAGGTGAAACATGGGTGTACCCAGTGGATGTAAAACCCTGCAGGGCTGTCTGTTGTGGAAGGGGGAAAGGGGTGGTCCAAATCCTGCCAGGGAGTAAGCAGCTTCCCAGCACCTAGTTTGTAGATAGGGCAGGTTAAGTTGTACCATCCAGTCTTATAAGGGGGGAGGAGGGAGGGAAATGCATGCTGTGGGAAAGCCTCAGAGAAACAAAAAAAATGTGTTTTCCAGGGCTGTGGAGAAAGGTACTGTAATGGCAGACACTGGACAAAACCAATGATTAAAATAGTTCAATAATTAAAATTGATTTTAAAAAACCATGACCAGCACCACCTGCAGTGAGCTCATTCTGGC